TTTAAAATATATGTTCCTGTTTATTTGTATAGCATAGCTCTTATTTGAATATATAATATATAAAATGTCTGTTGCTCCACTCCTCCTCTCATATCTCTGGTGGGAGGGACTAAAACACCAGGAGAGAAGTCGAGGATGTAAAAACTGAAATCAAATAAGGGATTAATTATTACACCTTCACAGGACTGCTTTTGCAATTGACTCCTACATCCAGCAGGGGGAGTATCTTGGTTTTCTGTCAGCCATGAGCCACAAAAAACTGAGTAAAAATCCATATAGACCTAACTTCATTGCACCTTTTAATACTTATCTGGTAATCAGGTGATCATCCTGACAGTATGTAAAATCATATTACCACTTTAATGGAGCTATAAATCCAGTGACTCCTACCTGGTCAAAGTCCAGCGGAGGCAGGTCTTCTCCACACACGGATCTCTGCTCGGCGAAGCAGCGCTCCTGCAGACTTTTGTCTCTGGCCAGGAAGAAGCCCATCCAGGCGCTGGTGGTGGAGGAGGTGTGCTGCCCAGCCAGGAGCAGACCGATCAGCATCCCCGCAATCTCGTTATCGCTCAGCGGACGTCCGTCTCTGAAGGCAGAGGACGAGCAGTTAAGACGCTTAGACTCTTTTTGTGATTTTCTCTGGTAGTAAAAGTTTCTTTGAGGTCAAACTCCTCTGGCAGTTTAAAACATGGTGCAGCAACACTCAGCTCACTTACAGTTTCTTATAGCTGTATACATAATTTCATGTTCCTGGACTTTGTATTTATGGAGATTTGCAAAGCTTCTTACTTGTAGGTGGCGTCAATGAGCGTCTGCAGGATGTCGTCCACCTTCTCTCCAGAGCTCTTGCGTTTCTGAATCACCTTGAAGAAGATGTTCTTGATCTCCACGTGAGCTCTGTCCCTCTTCCTGAGCACAGAAAACAAACGGAGGGAAATACTTTTACCTCATGCTGAGCAGTTTTTACTTTGTTCTATGGAGAAGTCAGATACTAGTGCACTTTTTGTATTTTCTCTGGCAGTGTATGTCATTTTTTCATAGATGTAACTCTCATCTTCATACTGTGGCAGATGCAGCTCTGACTGTGTGCAGATGTGAGATATAGGTGTAGCAGACCGACCTGAAGCTGGGCAGAGGCAGCCAGCCGGGCAGCAGCCAGGCAGCGTGGCTGAAGCCTCCGTCCAGGTCGGCGTAGAGCTGCGCCACTCGCTCATTCAGCATGCTGCGGATCTCCTTCCCGTGGAGGCAGCTGCTGGCTGTCAGGATGATCAGCTCGGACAGAGCCTCAAACAGGTCTGACGGAGGAGGACGGGCATTTAGTGAGAAGCAGAAACAGCAATGATTCAAAACACACAGACAGAAGGCGAAGATGATAAAAGCTCTGCATAAAACACGAGTCATGTCGTGTTAGAGCGTTCAAGTAGTCAGTAGTAGTGAGATTCTGTTCATTTTTTTCCTACATATATAAGAATTTATTTATATTTTCTACTCATAGGAAAAAATGATCAATATTAATGTTTTTCCACATTCAAACAAATCTGTGCAATATTTGAACTCCTACATGTGGAAGAACGAGTATAACAGCAACAGGATGTGTTTATATTTTTGGTTTATTTGTATTTTTTACTGATGTCCCAACATTTTTGCTTTTCTTTCCTGTACATTCTCCCACTGTGGGATTATTATCTTATGTTTTGCTTAATGCATTCAGATTTTGCAGGTCAAATAAAGCTGCATGACACATTGTAAATTAACCATCTGCAGCAGCTACTCTACAAACCTTTAAAAAAACCTGACTACAGCCGAGACATGTCACCCTAATATTCACATTTTAACCATGTGATGTGTGAAATATGTCTTACTTCTCTCTCCGCTGTCTCCCCATCTCTGGAAATACTCGATGGTCTCCGCCTCGATGATCTTCACATGCTCCTTAAAGTGGGCAATGTTCAGTCCAGTCTTTAGCATCTTCTTTTGTTCCAGGAAGAGCTGTAGCAGATTAAATTAAATTAAACATGTTCTCTGATTTCTGTAATGTAGGCGCTTTCCTTGTCATGACTTTATTGATAAACGTGATCTTAAAGACTCACAGCGTTGGGCACGTCGTAGGCGACTCCTTTTCCAAACACCGGTGTGGTCAGTCTGGAGTAGACGTCCTCTGCGTTCAGGTCTTCGTTCTTGCTGTTGAACAGCAGCATGGCTGCTTCGCTGCCCAGCAGGTAGGTGAAGGT